ATATATATATCACTTATTTTATTCCAGCTAAAATAACTACAACTAAATAAAGATAAAATAAATATAGACTAAATATAGACATATTAAAAAAAAAAAACTAAATTACTAAAACTTTAACTAAATTGAAACGAAAACAGAAAATGTGATAAAATAAATGAATAATATTAATAATAACTAATTCAAACTGTTAATAAACACTAAAGCACTAACGTTATTCATATACTATCATAATACTGTCATCATGGTAATGCTCAAAACCCATGGTAATACCATAGTATTCTGCAAGAACGTGTATAATGTTACCGAGGCCATAATGTTCACACCTCTGTAGATTACATGAAAACTATAGCTTCAATAACAACCTAAATTTGTCATTTATGTAACGTTAAGTTAGCTGTGCATTAGCAGCATCTGAGCTCCATCAGCCAGTCGACCATCATTTTCAAGGTCTGCTCACCTTTTTGTCCCAGATCTGCAGGGGTTTGCTGCCGATGCTGTAGAGGATGGACAGAAAGCCGCTCTGAAACGTGTTTTTGAACATAATCCTGCAGTTTTAGCTCAAATGAAACCACACCATACACAGTTTATTCTGCTTTGAATGCGTCCGACTGGATCTCTGGACTCCCAATCTCGGGTTCCGCCTTACAAAGAACAAACAAACGTATGCATCAAACGATCGCCGAATATAAAGCTAAAGTGCTTAATAACGAGTTTGATGTCGCTTCTGATCTGATTAATCCTCAACAGCGACACCGAGCAGGTTTTTCGGAGTTTATTTGGGAGTTGCTAGGAGACGTGAAGTGTTCTGGTTATCACGTCGGACCCTTTAATGTTGACACGGCTGTTGCTATAGTAACGGAGAGTCCCAGTTGTGTGACCAGCTTTATATTAAAACAATGATCTGATAAGCAGTGAACATCCGTTCTTTCTCAATTTACTAGTTAATTGATAGGAAATGCTAGTATGGGTGAATTCGGAATAGCACACAATTAAAAATTACTGTACATAATATTGCATCCCAGAATATGTTTTACTTTTTTTTATTTTACTATATTTTATACAATTCAAAATTGTAATATTTAATATGTTGGAGAGTTTTTACAGGAATGTGCGTGCTTTTGTTTTGCTTTTATTATTAATATCAAACAATAATATATAGAGAGAGAGAAGGGAGAGAGAATTAATGTTTATTTATACATAAATACATACACATATATTTATTTTTAATATGAGATCATATTAAAATCATGAGATTTTTTATATGATATTTAACTGTCCATATGCCCATATGTATTAAAATATAACATTATATATTAAAAAAAAATCATTTTAAAAACAATTTTATTTTGGACAGTGTGCATACAAGCAAAGAATAACCTTGCAAGTTTCTATCAAAATATGAAGATTCATTTACTACTGAATCTGTGTACGGATTGTCACCCATTAACTTAATTAACTAAATTAAATTAATGCATTTTTTCTTAAATATGCTTACCTTTCTCAATTCAATTTAATTTAAAATTAATTCAATAAATTGAATTAAGCAACTCATTGAGTTCATGTGACAATTTAACACTGCTCTCCGAAACATTTACTGTTGAATACAGCATCGTATTAAAAACAGTATGCATGCAGTATAGAGTAAACTGTGAAGAGCTGTTAACAACTGCTGTTTGATGCATCTTATGGATCAATGTTATGAATCTCTGTTACTGATTCATATAATAACAGGTCAATATTACATAATGACATATCAGTGGATTTGATCAACTGTAATCACACACTCGCGAGACACAGAGAAGCGTTTGCTCCCCCGAAGCCAAATGAGTTGGTGAGAGCGATTCTGCGTCCGCTGGAGCTCCAGGTCTGTGCTGTGCAGGCCACATAGTTCAGGTCAAACTCTGGCTCGGTGCGGTCCAGATTGAGTGTCGGTGGCAGGATGCCGTGGAGACACGCGAGGGCAGTGAAGGCGGCCTCCAGCGCGCCGGCGGCTCCCAGCAGATGACCGGTCGCACCTTTAGTGGAGGACACGGCCAGTGAGCACGCATGCTGCTCAAACAGTCTCTTAATGGCGGCGTTCTCTGCTGCGTCTCCTAGCGGTGTGGAGGTGGCGTGAGCATTGACGTACGTCACGTCTGAGGGAGTTACTCCAGCATCACGGAGAGCAGCAGACATGCACCTGAAACACAGCAGGAGAAGTCTAGCTTAGACTGAGCTGAACTGCATAATTCAGGATCACTTTTAGATCCCTGCAGCAATATCTAAGCATACAAACGTCACCACAGCCTACATAATAAAACCCTCAAATTAAGTATATATTTAATAATTAAATGTAGTAACAAAGTTGAAAATATTTTATTTCTGATCAATCAAAATGCACAGCACTTTTTAAAAAATATCGAAAGGCTGTGGGACCTCTTTGAACTCTTATATTTGTACTATGTTTTTGTTTTTTCTTTTCTGTTTAATATTCTTTTATGTTCTGTAATGCCTGTTACCAAACAACGTTATATATGATTTCTGTTATGTTGCAATAAATAAAAAGTCTTACAAAAAGGTTACAAAAAATAGTTTATTTGTATTCTAATAAGTGTACATAAGGGCTGTATGACATTATTTTATTCTGTACACACTACACAGTCTCTTTAACTTTTTAAGTATTTGACCAGTTTTTTTATCTTTTGATAAACTATTCTATAATACTGGATTTTTTTTATTTCCAAGGTGAAACTGGACATCACTCATGTCATTTAAATACATTTCTTTTAATATATACTTAATTTTATGGTTTTATATATATATATATATATATATATATATATATGTGTGTGTGTGTATATATATAACCATAAAATAAGTAAATATTAAAAGTAATAAAAAGAAAATTAGGTGGTTTTAACATTTTTATTAATGATAAATCTTGCACAGTACGTTTTTTCAAAAACATACAAAGTACCTCTTTGAACTATGTTTTTTTTCTTTTCTGTATTTTTTCATGTTCTTTATTGTCTGTCATCTGTGTAAGTTTAGTATCATTGATACCCAATTATAATTCTTCTTAAAATATTGAATTAGATTTATTGTTTACATTTTATGTTTTTGCTTTAATTTTAGTAAATTCTTTAGTAATTTTGTTGTTTTTGGCATTTTATTAGTTTTTTTGTCTATATCTGTCTATATAGTATTTATTCATTTTTATTTAGTAGTTTTAGTTTTAGTCTTAGTTATTTTAGTACTTCAACTGAAGCTATAAAATAAAATAAGTTAAAGTTTTTTATATTTTATATCAGTTAACATTTGTTTTATTTAAAGTAACAAAAATGTATTTTTATGGATCTAGTTTTAGTTAATAACTCTGTCTGTCCTCAGATAAAGTTGTATATAATTCCTGTTGTGTAGTGATGCAATCAAAATAGTGTAGTGTTGTCGGCGCCGATAGCCTCGTGTTTAGAGCGTCGACATATAGCGCAACTCAGCGAGTTCGAATCCCGCCTCGAGGTTCTTTGCTGATCCTGCTCCCCTCTCTCCAAAACTTTCCTGTCATCTCTCCACTGTACTCTCAAAATAAAAAAGGCTGGCCAAGTATGGTTACCCATACTTGGGAATTAGTGCTCTGCGTTTAACCCATCCTAAGTGCACACACACAGCAGTGAACACACACACACCGTGAACACACACCCGGAGCAGTGGGCAGCCATTTATGCTGTGCTGTGCTGTGGCACCCGGGGAGCAGTTGGGGGTTCGGTGCCTTGCTCAAGGGCACCTCAGTCGTGGTATTGAAGGTGGGAGAGAGCGCTGTACATTCACTCCCCCCACCTACAATCCCTGCCAGACTCGAACTCGCAACCGTTGGGTTATGAGTCCGACTCTCTAACCATTAGGCCATGACTTCCCCCTGGATAAATATAACTTTAAAAAAAAATAGTGTAGTGTTTATATGTATACTATTGAGTAAAACAGTATTTACCGAAAGGCTCCGTCTCCATCTGCGGTTGGAGCCGTGATGTGGCTGGCGTCTCCAGAGAGCCCATATCCCAGCACCTCAGCGTACACCCGTGCACCTCTCTGCTTGGCATGTCCGTATTCCTCTAAAACGAGCACGGCTGCCCCTTCTCCCATCACAAACCCCTCTCTATCTGGATGAAATGGGCGCGAGGCGAGTCTGGGCTCCTGGTTCCAGTTGGTGCTGAGGGCCCGAGCGCGAGCGAACCCGGCGATGGACAGCGGACTGACGCAGGCCTCCGTCCCACCGGCGAGCATCACCTCGGCGTCACCGTGAGCGATGAAACGGGCGGCATCGCCGACAGCGTGAGCTCCCGTGGTGCATGCGGTGGATACGGCGTGATTGGGACCCTTGAGTTTGTGTTTGATGCTTATGTGTCCTGCGGCCATGTTGACCAGGATACGGGGGACAAAAAACGGGCTGACTTTGCTGTAGCCGCGTGTTTGAAAGGCCGAGGCCGTCCGAACGATTTCCTCCAGAGACACCATACCCATCCCGACCGCCACACCAGTGCTGAGCTGCTCCTCAGGGCTTCTGGGAAACCATCCGCAATCCTCAAGAGCCAACTGGGCGGCACCGACGGCCATAACCGTAGCTGGAGACATGCTGTTGATCTCTCCTTTGGATGCAAACGCCTCTTCATTGAAATCTCCATGTTCATCTCCTCTCGGCACGCGGGCCGCCACCTTACACGGGACTGTCTTATACTCCTCTGGGTCCAGAGCAACCAAACCGCTTTCTCCACCAATCAGACGCTGCCAGGGCAGAGCACTTCCTGTTCCGAGGGGAGAAACGAGTCCGATGCCGGTGATCACCACCCTCCTGTGACTCTGAGCTGCTCTAGTGTAGCGTCTCAAACACATACAGCTCTTCACGGTGGACAGAGAGCCACCATAGAGTCTCAGTAACATCTTCTGACAGCATCTCAATGACATTGTGACCAACCTGTGCTGGGAAGACTGAGGCCACATCAGATCTTCACTGTAAAAAAATATTGAAAAAAGTAGTAGTTCAATTTCATGACCCATATCACAGTAAAACATCATGATTATGTTTCTATTACACATTTGTTTCAGAATAACATTTGAGTGAAGTGAAAACACACACACACACACACACACATATACACATTTTCCAACATATATTTCTATTTCTATTAAATATATATATATATATATATATATATACTGTATATATGTATGTATATATGTATGTATGTGTGTATATATATATATATATATATGTATATATATGTATATATGCAAATAATATCTAGTAGTAGACTAAATTTGAACCCAAAACTTCAACAAATCTCTAAATGTTGTGTTGCAACATGAAGAATTGATCAAAAATGAGAATTTTAATGTATTAACATTATAGATGTATAGATTTAAGCGCATTAATAGTTATATAAAAAAATAAATTATGCTAAGACAACA